GGGACTTAACGTCGCCATTTAAAGGTATCTGTCCTGCTTCGTGTTGCCATGCCGTATGTCCATCTGCACCCTGCTGAACTCAGGAGCTAAGTGTTTTTAAAAACCACAATCAGAAATTAGAGGTGAGCTGTGTGCCGCCTTTGCTATTTTCCATATACTTATTTCACTCACCATGTACAAAGCAGAATCTGTCCTCTGATATCTGAATGTTAACCATCCTGAAGAAGCGGTGCCTAAAACTGTTGGTCCTGCCTAGTGGAGAAGACGTGGTTTGTGTTACTACGTAGAACAAGAGTGGAGCCAGTATTTGGCTGGCTTCTTTCATGTAGAGATAACTCAGTGACGGATTCTTTATATATATCAGCTTGTGGCCAAGAAGTCCCAGACTTGAGAGGTTCGTTTGCAGAAGGCCTGGGGAATTGACGTGTGAGAGGCGTGCCCGTCCCAGAGCTCTCTTTATGTGTGCCGCGGGGCCCGGCCACAGGGGGCGCCGTCTGCGCTGCCCAGCCTGCTTGCTCAGTCACTATCTTTCCCCTGCTTTTTCCTCCTCGGTTTTTCAGAAGTGAGAACAGGAGTCGAAACGCTGCCATCCACTTACGGGTCACCGTGCTTCGGAGCACGCCGGACACCAAGGGAAGACTGCTCACGAAGGCCTGGTGAAGGGGAGCGGGGCGCTCTGGAGCGCTGGCATCCTGGGACCCCTTCCAAGATGTGTCAGGCTTCATTCCCCGACTTGTTTAAGGGCAGGGAATAAGGTTCCAAAGGAAATCAAAGCCTGATGTGGAGAAACGAAACATGAGGCCTACTGACTTTTAAAAAACATTTTAAATAACATTCTCTAAGGTTTCATTTGATACTGAAGGCAGCTGTAATAAGTTTTGGAAGACGGTGTAAGGTTTCTATGTTACAGGGTGATCCTGCTTCAGTTTTTGTGCCCAAAGTGAGGAAGGGCCGAGGGGGGTGGTTAAGAGGTTATTTTGTATAAGGTGAGAAAATTTGAAAAGCTGAATTCAAGACTGCAGGCGGGGAGCATTTGGCATGCTGTAATTTGCAAATGTAATAACATGAAACCATTGGAAGGTGGTGCCTTTTTTTTTTTTTGGTGAAAATAGTCTGGATAGCAGTGGAATAACTTAATAACTCAAATTCCCCAGCACGTTGACCACAAGTAAAACAAGAGAGCTGCTCTGTAGAGGCCCTGCCAGTGTTGCTTCAGTGACTAAGTCCCCGTCGAAGGCTGGCGCGGGCCAGAGACGCTAGAGGCTGAAAGCGCCCATTGTTCACGGGCATCATTATTGGGTATTACACGCACAGTGTTTGCTTGTGGAACGATGTATTAGAAACAAGCGTGCTTAAGAACATTGAACTTCAGTGGATCTGGCTTATGACATTTCAGATTTCATAGTGCCTTGGTTTCTAAGAATAAATATTTTGGTCCACTGTAAATACTTATCTTAGAACACTCACGCAGACACGCTCACACACAAACATATAAGCATACATGTGCAAAATTGGAAAACTGAGCCAGGGAAAGATGAACTGATACCTGATGTTTACTGCTCTATGGGAAGGAGTAAAACTTGTTCATAGTTGAGGTTCAAAGACACCGCAAACCATACCTGTTGCCATCGAGTTGCTTCTTGCTCACAGCAGCCCTATGGGGCAGAATAGAACAGCCCCATAGGGTTTCCAAGGTGGTAAATCTTTATGGAAGCAGATTTCCACGTCTTTTTCCTGCAGAGTGGCTGATGGGTTTGAATTGCCGACCTTTCGGTTAGCTGTCGAGTGCTTAAGCACTGGGCCACCAGGGCTTCTTAAAGGGACCTGTTTCGTGAGCGTGGCTGCCCAGAGGATGTCCTCTTTACTTTGCACAATCTTTTGGGAGGAGCGAGTGTGTTTGTGCACATTTAACTCTGCCCTGCCCACGTGGACGGGGCCAGCACGGTTAAACCAGAACTTGGTCACTGCCAGCTACAAGCAGGTACCTGTGACATCTGGCTGGCGTCCAAGCCCAAAGGGAAGGCTCTCCGTGACCCATGTGTGGGGCGTATGTCAGGCAGACTAAGGATTTCTGGTGATGCTTGAGTGGCACCCCAGCTTGGGGGGTTTTCTGCCCATAGTAACTAGGAGTCTTGGATTCTCGGCTCACCCTCCGTGAGTGACATCAGGGCAAGGGAATCTGTTCTTCAGGGGCTCTGAAGTTCTTATCTTTGTAATGTGAAAATATAGATATTTGTAAAGTGATGGGAGATTCGAGAATGAAATGTGCTAAAACTGTGCTAAGTGCAACTACTAGCCCTCTTTATTAAGTTTTTAAAGACCAGCAACAGGCGTATGCAGTAAAATCAATTTATGCCTAGTCTGGCTTTTGTCCAAAAAATTCCACTAAATAACATTTTAATCTGAAAAGTCCCAGTGTAGAAAGGCTTAGGTGTCTTATCATTCTAATTTGCTGTTTCCAGCCCGGTGCACGGGGACA